TGCTGCCTGTTGCAACGCTCTAGCGCTGCACGCAAGAAACGCATAAAAATGAGTACTGTTCTGAAACATGAGAAGTATACGTAGTGGAAGAGCAGTTATAGACTAGAAATTAACCGCTTCAAACACGTCTGGCTGTAGCTTAGTAAGGAACTCTACACATCATCGTACGACAGGCACAGGCAACCTTTGGCAATACGCGGACCTTATTTGCATACTTACTTATGCTCGCAGGCCACCTTTTGATAAAATCCAGATAACAGGCTTGCCCGCGTAATCATGTGTTTTTGCGTCAACCAGATCGTTAATAGTATGAATAGTTGTTGCTTTACAGTTTAACACGTGCAGCTCATGTGCCTGTGTTTGGTCTTTTCTTGCACGCGGGGGAAAAGGGCATCGGCAGGGATGGTGGTGCTGCATCATGGCTCCCCCGTAGCTGAGTCGAATATGCGTGACAGAGTTCCTTGTTGCTGAACGCACATATATGCATACAGATGCTTTCGATATTATACGCTTTTGCATTCGCATAAGATGCAGAAACGCATAAAAACAAATAAGTTTTTATCAGGTTGTTCGTTCAGTAAAAAAAGATCAGCAACAGGTTAATGTGAGCTCCGAGCTTGAATTTTTGGCGCAAGATTTTTGAAATCTGAGTTTATATCACCGATACAGAGTTTCAAAGTATTTTCCAGGCTGTCGTCTATTAGCCTTATGCGTTTTGCTACGCCTTTTGTACTGTGCAACAGCTGCACAATACGCGTACTGTTACGGGTTTGTCTGTGTGTGCGTTTGTGTGAATAAATGTGTGTTTGTGTCGGTCCGAAGCATATTGTCCATAACTTTTAACTCGGCAACCGCAAGGGCTAGGAAACTAAAAATTTAGGTAAGTATTCCCGCCCAAATTTAATTTCAGCCTTCACCTGTCCCTGGGTACTGTGTATGACTCCGTGAAACTTCTGGCGGTGAAAATTATTATTTCAGGAACTATGGAAGCTAGGAATGTAAACTGTTGCGGTAATGACCCCTTCCCAAATAAATCTCGCAAATATAAATTCAGTCCTCCCGCACACTCAAATATCACATATAGCCTTGTGAAAATTTTGGCGGAGAAATTATCTTGGGGACCTTGAAAGCCAGGAGGCTGAAAATTTCAGGAGGAAATTTTCTGTCTATGCAAGGGCCTCACAAACTCATATTTAGTTTCCAAGCATGCCAAGTTCTTGCATGTGGCCACATAAAAACTTTGGCGCGAAAATCACTCGAAAGCCATAAAATTAAGAAATTGAAATGTTGGAAGGATATTCACCCTTCGAGGTCTCAAATTCAGCTTTCACGTACCGGTGCGTGAGATTTTTAGTGAGAAACTTCGCGGCTTAGGAACCAGACAAAACTTCAACAATTTTTTTAAGGAACAAAGTTCAAAGCAGTGAAAATCCTTAGCAGGCAAACGTTCGCTGGACGAAACTGCGCAAAGCGCGTGATCCTACCGGCTATCCTGGTGCGCTCTGCTATTTTTTATGCGTTTTTGCATATATGCAAATTGCAAAAACGCATATTGGGAAGAGGCTGTCTGTGTGTTTGTGCGTGTGTGCGTCTGTGTGTTCGCGCTTTTTGTCGCCCACTTTAAAATCAAGAACCAGAAAAGCTAGAAGGCTGAAAGCTTGGGAGTATGTGCCCATACCGTGTGAGTCTCCTCCCCCCCCCCCCCCCCCCCCCCC